GGCCAGTATCACTGATGAAAATAGGCACTAAAATCCTCAACAAAATATTGGCAAACCGCATCCAGCACTACATTAAAAAGATCATACACCATGACCAAGTGGGATTCATCCCAGGGATGCAAGGATGGTACAATATTTGCAAATCATTAAATGTAATATATCACATGAACAAAATTAAAGAGAAAAATCACATTATCATAATCAATAAATACAGAAAAAGCATTTCATAAAGTACAGCACCCATTTATGATAAAAACACTCAGCAAAGTGGGAATAGAGGGAGCATTCCTCAACATAATAAAGGCCATATATGAGAGACCTACAGACAACATCATACTCAATGGGCAAAAACTTAGATTTTTCCCACTAAGATCACGAACAAGACAAGGATGCCCACTTTCACCACTTCTACTCAACATTGTATTGGAAGTCCCAGGAATAGCAATAAAACAAGAAACAGAAATAAAAGGTATCCAAATTGGAAAGGAAGCAAAACAGTCATTGTTTGCAGATGACATGATAGTTTACATGGAAAATCCTATAGAGTCCACAAAAAACCACTCAACCTAATAAATGAATTTGGCAAAACAGTGGAATACAAAGTCAATATTCAGAAATCAAAGGCATTTTTGTACACCAGCAGTGAAATATCAGAAACAGAAATCAGGAAAAAAATCCCATTTGAAAAAGCAACAAGAAAAATAAAGTACCTAGGAATAAAACTAACCAAGGAGGTAAAGACTTGTACTCAGAAAACTATACAACACTGCAGAAAGAATTTAAGGAAGACGCAAACAGAAACATGTACCATGCTCATAGACTGGAAGAACTAACATCATCAAAATGTTCATGCTACCCAAGGCAACTTATAGATTCAATGCAATACCCATTAAAGTACCAATGACATATTTCAAAGATACAGAACAAACATTTCAGAAATTTCTATGGAACCATAAATGACTCTGAATAGCTGCAGCAATTTTGAGAAAGACAAGGTAAGAGGGATCATAATACCTGATACCAAATTGTATTACAAAGCCACTGTTATCAAAATAGCCTGGCACTGGCATAAGAACAGACACATAGACCAATGGAACAGAATAGACAGCCCAGAAATAAACCCAAGTCTCTTTGGTCAATTAATATTTGACAAAGGGGGAAGAAGGAAAAAATGGAGTAAAAATAGCCTCTTCAACAAATGGTATTGGGAGATCTGGACAGCTACACGCAAAAAAATGAAACTCATTCACCAACTTATACCATACACAAAAATAAATTCAAGGTGGATAAAAGATTTAAATTAAATATAAGTCATGACACCATAAAAATTTACAGAAAAACATCGGCAGAAAAATCTCAGACATTCTAACAGCAACATCTTCACTGATATGTCCCTTAAAGCAAGGGACATAAAGGAAACAATAAACAAATGGGACGTCATCAAATTAAAAAGCTTCTGCATGGCTAAAGAAAACAACATTAAAATGGAAGGAGAACCAACTATATGGGAAAACTTGTTTGCCAATGATACCTCGGACAAGGGATTGATCTCCAAGATATATAAATAACTCACACAACTCCATTCTAGGAAGACAAAAACCCAATTAAAAAATGGGCCAAAGATTTGAAGAGACAATTCTCCAAGGAGGACAGAGAGAGGGCCCAGAGACATATGAAAAGAGGTTCAGCATCACTAGCCATCATACAGATGCAAATTAAAACCACAATGAGATATCACTTTGCAGGGGTCAGAATGGCTATCATAAACAAATCAACAAACAAATGTTGCAAAGGATGTGGAGAAAAGGGAATCCTAGTGCACTGTTCATGGGATTGCAGACTGATACAGCTACTGCAGAAAACAGTATGGAATTTCCAAAAAAACACCTAAAAATGGAACTGCCTTTTGACCTTTGTATTCCACTGCTAGGATTATATCTTAAGAACACTGAAACACCAATCAAAAAGAACCTATGCACCCCAATGTTCACAGCAGCACAATCACAACAGCCAAGTGCTGGAAGTAACCTAACTGCCCATCAATAAATGAATGGATCAAAAAACTATGGTACATTTACACAATAGAATTCTACGTAGCAGAAAGAGAGAAGGAGCTCCTACCCTTTGCAACAGCATGGATGGAAGGAGAGCATTATGCCAAGTGAAATAAACTAGGTGGTGAGAGACAAATACCTATGACCTCACCTTTAATGAAACATAATCAACAAAAGAAAAAAATCAAACAAAATATAACCACAGACATTGAAATTAAGAACAAGCTGACAGTAATTGGTGGGGGGGAAGGGGTAATGGGGAGAAGGGTTTTCAGGAATAACTATAAAGGGCACATGGACAAAACCAAGGGAGAGAGTAGAAGCAAGGGAGGGAGGTGCATTTGGCTGGAGTGGGGGAGGAGTCATGTGGGAAAAATGCAGACAAGTGTGAATGAACAATAAACTATTTTTTAAAAAAATGGTAAAGACATCTAAATTAAATGGAAGGAAAACTGTTAAGTATGCAATCAATGTTTAATTAAGAATTGCAAGCTTCAGTTGACCTTATCTTCATTCCTGTCTTAAATTTAGATTTTAACTAATAGGTTTTTTTAAACTTTATTTTTATCTTAGAAGGTTACTTTAGTATTTACTACATAAATCTTATGTCAAACTAGAAGACTTTGACTAGTTTTCATTTGGATGTATTTAAAAACAAAATCTTTCATTTTCATATTTAATAAAGTTATAAGATAAAATAAATAAATAAATAAATAAATAAGTAAGTAGTAAATATAATCTTCTGGGGTTTTTTTTTGAGGACCTGGCCCACAACCCAGGCATGTGCCCTGACAGTGAATTGAACCAGCGACCCTTTGGTTCATAGGCCCGCACTCAATCCACTGAGCTACACCAGCCAGGGCATAAATAAAAATCTTACAAAAACAAAAAAGAAAGAAAGAAATATGGCCCAAATGAAACAGCAGATTTCAGAACTCCAGGAAAAGAGCTAAACAAAAAGGAAATAAGCAACCTGTCAGATGCAGATTTCAAAACATTGGTCATAAGGATGCTTAAGGAACTTAGTGAGGACCCAACAGCATAAAAAAGATTCAGTCAGAAACAAAGGATACACTAATTAAAATAAAGAACAAGTTACAGGGAAACACCAGTAGAGTGGATGATGCTAGAATCAAGTCAAGATTTGGAACATAAGAAGCAAAAAGCAACCAAAGAGAACAAGAAGAAGAAAAAAAGGTTCTGAAAAAAATTAGTGTAGTATAAGCAGCCTCTGGGACAACTTCAAGAGGTCCGGCATTCAAATCATAGGGGTGCAGAAGGAAAAGAGAAAGAGCAAGAAATTGAAAGTCTATTTGAAAAAATAATGAAAGACAACTTCCCCAATTTAATGAAGAAAATAGATATGTGAGTACAGGAAGCACAGAAAATCCCAAACAAGATGGATGCAAAAAGGGCCTACTCCAAGACAAATCATAATTAAAATGAGAAAGGTTAAAGGTAAGGCAGGAATCTTAAAAGCAGCAAGAGAAAAGCAGATAGTAACTACAAAGGAGTTCCCATAAGACTGTCAGTTGATTTCTCAAAAGAAATTTTGCAAGCTAGCAGGAATTGGCAAAAAATAGTCATGAAAAGCAGGAACCTACAGCCAAGATTGCTATATCCAGCTACGCTATCTTTTAGAATCAAAGGTCAGATAAAGTGCTTCCCAGACAAGAAAAAAAACTAAAGGAGTTCATCATCACAAAACTATTACTATATGAAATGTTAAAGGGACTTATTTAAGAAAAAGATGATCAAGACTATAAACAATAAAATGGCAAAAAATACTACCTTATCAATAATTGAATCTAAAAATCAAACTAAGCAAACAAAAACAGAGACAGAATCATGGATACAGAGAATGTTTTGATGGTTGCCAGATGGTAGGGGTGTGTGGGGGAATGGGTGAAGAGGTAAGATTAGAAAGTACAAATAGGTAGTCACAGAAGAGCCATGGGAATATAACAGACAGTATAGGAAATAGGTAACCAAAGAACTTACACACATGAACCACAGACATGAATAATGGTGTGTGGACTGTCTGAGAAGTGGTGGGTGCTCAGTGGTGGAGGGCAAAGAGGAAAAAATCAGGACAACTGTAATAGCATAATCAATAAAATGTAATTAAAAAATAAAAGTTTACTTCAATGTAAAAAAAAAAGATGAAGCAAACCTCATTCACGGATGGTAGGAATGTAAACTGGTATAGCCACTATGGAAAACAGTATGTAGGTTTTTCAAAAAACTAAGAATAGTTAACATATGACCCAGCAACCTCTCTTCTGGGTATCTATCTGAAAAATTTGTAAACATTTATTCACAACAAAAAATGCACCCCTAAGTTCACTGCAGCATTATTAATGGTGGCCAATATACATGGAAACAACCAAAGGCCAAGAGACGGAAACAACCAAAGTGTTCTTTGATAGATGACTGGATAAAGATGTGATATGTATATACTATGGAATACTACTCAGCTGTAAGAAAAGATAAATAAATAAAAATAAATAAGACACCGCTATTTGCAAAAAAAATGGAAGATTCTTGAGAATATCATAGTAAACCAAGTAAATATGACAGAAAAATTAAGAACTATATGATTTCACTGGTATATGGGATATAAAACTGAAAGCAACAAATGAACAAACAAGAAAAACAAAGAAAAACTCATAGACACAGAGAATAGTATGGTGGTTACCAGAAGGAAGTAGGGTGGGGGTTGGTAAAGGGGATCAAATATATGGTGCAGAAGATTTGATTTTGGGTGGTGGGCATATACACATGCAATATATAGATGATGTATTATAAAATTGTACATGTGAAACCTATATAATCTTATTAACCAATCCTACCCCACTAAATTTAATGAAAAAAAAAAAACATAAAATAAAGAAGAATGTGGAGTCAGTTAAAAAAAAACAAACAGAATCAAGGAACGAGACCTACCATCTGAGAGAGTTTTCCTTTCCTTCTTCTCTTTCAACGTCTTCTGAGGTTTTGCTCCAGGAGATAAGCCTTGAAAATGTCACAGTTTTTTTACCACACTCCATATGCTTAGTATTTATCTGATATTTTACATATGTGTCTGCCATCCTCATGGCTCCTAAGCTCAGAGCAAGCCATTCACCTTTGTATCTCAGCTCCACCTGAGCACTTCAATCAGTGGTTTACCATATCAGACACTCAAAAGTGCCTCTTTTTAAGCAAAAAGTTTCAATTTACATACCAGGGTCATGTGTATATCAAGGCTGTGCCTGCTGACAGAATAACCCTAACATATTTCCACTCTGTTAAATCATATTCCATTCTGTAGAATATACTGCACAGTATGTTTTCATTTAGTCAAGATATAGGAGTAAATATTGAGCCAGTGATTCTTAACCTGGGGCCTATGCTTCTCTGAGGTATCCATTAATTCCCTGAAATTGCATATACAATGTTATATAAATGTATAAATGTGCATTTTGGGGGGGGGGGGGACTCCACAGTGTTCAGTTATCAGTCTATAAACTAAAAAAGGAACAAGAAGTATAACATAAGTCTCTCATGCCTGAGTAAAATTAAACAGGGAACTGCCCTCAGGAAGCCCAGCAGGGTCCCGCACTTCCCCACCACCATAGTGCTAACTTATCTTAGTGGGGAGGGGGTGTACCTTTTTGTTCCTCTCCCATCTGCCTTGTGGCATCCCCCTTGATCCGAGCAGCTAGCTCATCAGCAAAGGTTGTGGGTCTTTTCTACAGCCAGAAGAGACCAAAAGAATCACTTTTTGTAACATACAAATTAGTACAGTTTACTTTTGAATACCTTCCCACATTTTGTAAATAATTATACAGAAATTGAAATGAGAAAACAGGGTTTAACTAAATGAATTTAAACATATGCTCCCTATATACAGATCACCTGAGAAACAGGACTCAAGGTTCCTCCAAAGGGAGATGCTCCATATTTTATTTTATTTTTTTTTACATTTCAAAGAGCTAGATAAGAAAACTGTCATGAAGTCCTCGGGGTCAGGAGAGGAAGAGGAGTATTAAAGGTCTTAAAATTCTGAAACTGAATGTACTTTGAATCATCTGACTTGTAAAATTGAAATATTTGAAAGAGAAGAATTGATGTTTGAAAGTTAACTTGGAATGCTCAACCATTAGTTTCAAAAGTAAATGAAAATACAAATATGATATAAGACGATTACAATTATAAATGACAATAACAGGAATGAGTTTTAGGTACCACTTCTATACTTTGCCAAGAGATAGCAATTACATTGTTTCTTACAGGTCTAGTATTTTCTTCAATGTCCTCAGTATCTTCCTCCTCCTTCTCAGAGTCAGCAAAAATGTCACAACCATCATCATCCTCTTCTTCATCACTCATTTGTTCAGTGTGCTGAGTATAAACCACCAGATTAGAACTATTAGATAAGATCATCCAGCTAAAAAAGAAATACTGCTACTTAGCCTTTAGGCAAAATGGTAACTGTGTGTTAAATGCAGCAAAAGTTATGAAGCACTACATATGTCAAAACAAATAATATACAAGATTATTTTTAGCATAAGAATATAACAGCAAAATGAAATACTAAAAACATCCATCAGTACAGAAATGATTAAACTAAATAAATATCATCTTATCTTAATAAGAACACTAATAGTTTAAAAAAATAATCTATAACAATTGAAGAAATATGCAAGGCATCAAGTGAAAAAACTGAATGATAAACCCAGTATGATACTCTGCAACCCCCTCATCCCTATATTATCTCCGCAGGCACAGGTATACTTGTAAAAACAAAGAAAAACACTTGGACATGTACACTCACAGACTGTAACACCAGTTACCTCTGGAGAGTGTAAGAAGATGGAAGACTGATGGCTGAAACTCTGTCAGGCACCATGCTAAAATCTTTAGAACTCTGAGGTTAGCTATAGTACACAAAACCAGTCTATCTTTAACAATACAAACAAATGGTTAACCCAGTGCTTTTAATCACTATACTGTTTTGTTTGAAAATCTGAATTTATAGATCTTAATAGTAAATTCCACAGAAAAAAAAATGTGGCTTACTCATTAAAATTATAGAGACTAGCCACATTTATGAATTCAATTTCGAAAATACAAGTACTAACCAGAAAGTACTAAATCCTTCATTTGACAGTTGAAAACGTTTATGAAAAAATATTTCTCAATTCGGAAACAAATACAAACTGGGACAATCTCTATACATGGCCGTACATATATTATGGTAGCAAAAATCATAATCCCAGTGCTGATGAGATTGCAGAAAAATTGTTATGCAGGATCTTCAATCAGAAATGTCCATAAACAGCCTTTACTATAACTCCACACCACTTATGCCTAAGGAAACAGTTCACATAAGCAAGTGATTTTTATGTATGAAAATGCTGAATACATCATTATCTCAAAAATAAAGTACTGAAAATAAACTATATTCCATACACATTTAGAGACCATGGCAGCATCAGATAATAGTGTGCTTAAAAACATAGTTTACAAAGCATATTACAGTACAAAGACTATTTAAAATCACAAGGGCAAAGAAACATTTATATTAATATAAAATAGCAAAAAATAAATTATGTATATATTACAAAAAGAATTATGTCCTTAAAAGGATTACCGAAAAACTAAGACAATGATACTAAAACAGTAAGATTAGAAGATTTTCATCTTTTGAGCATTCATGTTACTGCTATATAAATTTTAAAATGGGAGAGGAATTAAGTTTGGGTAACTGGGCCTTCTTTGAGAGGCTCTGTTCCCAATTTTGTTTTTTACTTCTTTTTTTCCCCAAGAAAAATTAACATAAAACATAAAGTAAAATTTTAAAAAATACATACAAATTAGCCTAAAAATATGAAATGCTTGAAGGAAAATTAGTTGTAAATATGAATAAATCCTTATTTACAAGTAAGTTGTTCAAAAGTAATTTTACTATCTATTTAGTATATATGCTATGCTTCAATTGACATTTAAAAGTAAAATCACTTTAATACATGGGCCTTACCTGGTTTTGACCACTGTCACTATGATTAGCGAAATCTTCATCTGACTCCTTTAAGGGGAAAAAGGCTCTTGTTAATAGAGGCCTTACTCAGAAGCACAGTAAATTTTGGCTCTAAGCCTGTGGAGCTCATCAACACTTGGTCTCTATACTGATTACTGGTCACCTGAAGTATCAATGACAGCTGGCTGTATTACCGAGGACTGACCCACTTCACATGTAATATTTTATGGTTAATTAAAATATCTTTAGCAATTTGTTCATGTCTATTGAATTTGAAGTACGAGTTGCACATTTAATTAACTTAGTTATCCAAAGTTAGTTTGTGTTATTTTACTTTTTGGACTCTACTGTTTATATTCCCTTTTAAACAGGGTAATTAACTAGTTCATCAGGCCCAAGAAGGAAACATCAGTACTTGCCACCAGCAATTACATAAAGACTTACATTGATGGCTAAAAGCAAAGGATTCACTAATGACTATCAGTTACAGGGAGGTTATTTAAGGAAAACTTATTTCCTACTTTTAGGTGTTTTCTTTGGAGGGCTGGCTAAAAGAGAGACGGGGAAGAGGATGGGAGAAGAAAGAAGTATATGCATACAATCCTATCTCCTTTTAGAAATCCATGCTCAAATGTTTCTATCCTTTGCAATAACAAATATGCTATCTAAAGGAACAAAGCCAGATACAACAGTGGTCAAGGTCCACAGACCCTGAGTCCCTAAAGCTAGGAGCCAGATTATACTCTGGATATGAAGATGGTAGTGGCAACAACAAAGCTAAAACGTAAGTGGACGCTTTAAGTATTTTTCTGGTCTAGAAGGTTTTGTAAGAAAAATTTCAAATCTGGACACATTTTTCCTAGAATTATTCAAAGACAGAACTTACTCAGAGACTGTATCTCAGGAAAGATCCCACCAAAATACCTAAGTTGTCACTCTCTGTGGGAGGCCACTCTGCATGTGAGGCCAGCTCCCACTCAGAGATGCACAGGACCCACACCCATGGATAGTTTCTCCTGTGGGGAATCAGGTCTGCAATGTACCTAAGCCACTATTAGTCTTGCTTTTTGTTAAAATTCCCTCACCCTGAATTGAGGACATTTACTGCAAAGTAACTTCCTAAAATCCATGCTAAACCTTCTAAGGATGAGTGTAACTGTCCAACTACTTTTGCCTTTTCATTTGCAAATATCCCTCTTCTGTGATGTGATTAGCAGCATTGGCTCCTTTGTTTTCTGTAAAAAGTAACTACCTAAAGCGAGCTTGTGCACAGTTAATGAGGACCTTCTTGTTAAGTGCCCAGTACGACAATAAAAGCTCACTGGAGCAAGGGCAGAAGGTTTTGCTCCCCTTGAGAGAAAAGCCATGCTGTCCTTTTTCCTCCACCAGATTTGGTAATCCATGTATATGTCTCATTTCATCCATAATGACTCGAACACTGCAGGCCCATAGTCTGCATCACTCCTCCAAATATATTGGTGAAAACAGGATTTTTTAGGGAGGTGGAAGGGAGGGAAATGGTAAAAGAGATTAAAACAGTTTTCCTTTAATCTCTTTTACTATTTCCCAAAACAGTAAGGAAATCCAGTCCTAAGAGAAAAACTTCAGAAAATGGCTTCTATCACTGTTAAAAGATTTATGAATACAGATTGCTAATTCACAAACATGTATTTACTTAGTCTGCTAAACACATCCTAAGTTTCCTGCCATTCATGACCTGGACACACTAAACAGTCCTTACCTCCTCTTCATTCTCTTCTTCACTGTCCACAATGCTACCACGGTCACTGCCTACTGAACCTTATATTTAGAACAAAGATAAGAGTTACCACCAATATTCATAAGAAAATGTGATTAGTTTCTTCTCAAAATCATAAACCACCATATTATCAGCATTACAGAAATGTTGATAAAACTATCTGTACCATTAACTGGAATTAAAAGTATCTGCACTATATGAGGAATGAAATATTTATATAGCCCCAAAGTATCTTCCCACAAGATACTTAATATTTACAAAAAAAACGTACTAATTATAAAGCAAAAAAAATTGGCTTGTACTCTTCAAAGATGTCATGGTTGTGAAAAGCAAAGCAAGTGTTTTGGGGGGTTTTTTGACAACTAAATGCAGTGAGTGATCCTGGATTATATATCCTAGGTCAGAGGAAAGAAGTGACTATAAAGGACATCACTGGGACAACTGGAAAATATGAATGTGACTCAGGATTAGATAGTAATATTATGTCCAGTAAAATTTCCTGGCTTTGATAATTTTAGTGTGGCTATGTAAGAGTATTCTTAGAAAATACACACAGAATATTTAGGAGTGATAGGGCATAATATCTGTTTGATGTCTGTCAAATAGGTTCAGGAAAAAAATATTAAATATATTGAGAGAAAAAGATACAACAAATATGGTGAAATGTTAACAACTGGTAAAGCTGGATAAAGGGTATGTAGCAGTTCTTGATACTAATCTTACAACATTAATGTAAAGTTTGAAGTTAGAAAATTTTAAAATAAAAAGTTAAGATATAAATATTAAAAGTAATAGAAGTATTTGGTACAAAGTGTACCTTCACTGGATAGCTCTCCAAGACCTACATCTTCTTGCTCCATGAACAGCTTTGACCCAATTAAATAAGGTAAAGGACGATCAATGTATAGATCCTGCAAAAAATGTTAGAAGATAAGCCATTAAATATTTAGGTTGAAAAATAAAATTAACTTTCCCATTTGACGTCTTGTTTCATCTGACTACCCCCAAAAAACTACATAATAAAAGTAGATTGAAAGACAAATACCATATGATCTCGCCTATATGTGGAACCTAATCAACAAAACAAACAGGAAAGCAAAATATAACCACAGACATTGAAATAAAGAACCGACAATAACCAGAGGGGAGGTGGGAGGGGATAACAGGGGAAAAAGTGAGAAGGATCATCAAAGAACATGTATGTTAGGTGAACGTGATAACCACTACACTACGGAAACAAAGAACATGTATGTATAAAGGACACATGGACAAAGCCAAAAGGGGGTAGGATCAAGGGCGGGAAGTGGAGATGACTGGGGTAGCGGAGAGTGGAGGGAGCAAAAGGAAGACAATAGTACTTGAACAACAATTTTAACTTTCCATATTAAGTTAACTTTCAAATCCAAAAAAATAAAAATAAAAAATAATAAAGTAGTGACTAAGAAACACAGCAGAATTAAAAGTCAAATAAAAAAAACACTTGATTTTAAAAAAGTCAAATTCTAGGTAAAGATGGTAAAACGAGGATGAATCAGACAAGGGCCAAGTGATATTAACAAAAACCTGCAAATATTTACCAGCAGTAATCAAACAGGGAAAGGGGCACAACTTCATAGCACCATGTTCAAAAGGAGGTGGATCAAGAAATCAAAAATTATGAACACTGTGGTGCATAGGTTCTTTTGGATTGGTGTTTCAGGGCCCTTGGGATATAATCCCAGCAGTGGAACTGCTAAGTGAAATAAGCCAGACGGTGAGGGACAAATACCATATGATCTCACCTTTAACTGTAACATAATTAACAAAAGAAAAAAGCAAACAAAATATAACCAGAGACACTGAAATTAAGAACAATCTAACAATAACCAGAGGGGAGGGCAGAGGGGACAATGGAGGGAAGGGTTTTCAGGAACTACTATAAAGGACACATGGACAAAACCAAGGGGGAGGGTGGAAGCAAGGGAGGGAGGTGGGTTTGGCTGGGGTGCGGGGGAGTGGTGTGGGAAAATGCAGACAACTGTAATTGAACAACAACATAATTAAAAATTTTTTTAATTTAAAAATAAAAGAAATGAGAAATTAGAAATTCTACAAAGGTTTAATGACTCCTAGTCCTATCTTCCACCCCTAAAAAGCAGCACTGATAAAGAAAAACCAACTAATTAATCTACCAATTTTTAAATATTTTTTTTGTTTTAATTGTTGTTCCAGTACAGTTTGTCTTTTACTCCCATCCTAAACTATCAATCTTGAGATTCCTCAATAAGAGTCCTAAATTTGGAGAAAAGCACATTGAGGAAATAACCCAAATAGCAAATAGTTTTTTATATAACTATGAGAAAGCAGGTAGGTATGTCCAGGTTTTAGGGAGGAGGTATGGACAAACAGGTCACACACATGACATACAGGGAATCGAGAGTCCTTTACACTGCATCAGAGCAAAGGAGAAGGCTGCAAGAGAGCACATAAAACACAGGCCAAATGAAAAAAAAAAAAAAAAAACCAGAATGACAACTATGCAAATATCTATAGTCAACATAATGAACATAATGTCTAAAAGATGGATGTGAACCTATCAGGAAGAAAAAAATAACTCAAGAAAGAGAATAATATTCCCTAGAGTTTCACACTGTATAATTTTAAAAAGTGAAGTTGGTAAAATAAGACCAGATGATAAAACATTAGAATGAAATGAAGGAGAGGAATGAAATGAAGTGCACATGACAATACATGTTGGAGACCTATCCATACACACATTAAAAACTTAAGGACAAGAAAGCACTCCATCCCTAGACAACCTCCTATCTCCACTGCTGGAGGAAAAGCTGACTTGTGCTCTGAGAGGTAAGATTCTTTGGCCACAGTATCTCTTCTCTATGAAAAGACTCTAGGGGACAAGGGAGAAAAACACTGATGCTTCACACAACAGAATAGTTTGGGAAGGTTAATGAAAGGTTAAAGATACAACAGCAACCAATTTATTGCAAAGAAAAGAAAGTGATAATGCAGCTGTCTGCTGGTTTAGAAGCCCTTCCCAAATCCCCCTGTAACAGGGAAAGTGGTGTGTGACTTGGAACTAACAAGTGTGGCCCAGGGAATACATTTCCTGGGTTCCGTTGCTAACTTCTAAATCCTTCCAGTAAAAACGCAAGCCAGCAAGTGTAACAGTGCTAAAGGATCAGCCCCAACTTGGTCTGATACTGTAAGCTCAAACTGAGAAAGAAATATACAGCTAAATGAATGACTAGAAGCGTTTGTTTTTGTGGCATGTTTTAATTTGTAGGGCACTTGAGTATCACAAGGATTCTCAAAAGCAATACAGCCACTTTTTGTGTTTGAGTGATTCTGGTGTTGCCCTAATTGTCTCCTTTGCCAATCTGAGAGAAAGTAACAGTAAAGCAATAAATACCTATTCGACTAATGATCTGTTTATGCACATGCATAGCAGCTTTTTTCATAATAGCCACCACCTAAATAGAACTCAAGTATCTTTCAATGCTTCTGCAGTCTCCCTTAGCACACAAGCTACAGAATTCAGGTTCCTAACAATCTCAACCTTTCATGAGTATTCTCATCCTCAAAACCCAATTCAAGTCTCATCTCTTCCGTAACTTCCCCAGCTTAGAAGTCAATCCTTTCTCAGGTTACTTAGGATGGTGACTCTCACAAAAGTCTCTCCCCACTGTCTAGTCATTCTGCAATAAGCATCCTGAGAGAAGGAACCATGCCCTGAAACTTGGGCTCCCCTAACTTGGCATGCAGCCTTGGACCTAGTAAGTATTCAATCAGTGCTCATGCAAAGCAAGTTTTTCTAATGGAGTCGATACGAGAATGCTAAGTGACATGTTCAGTTGCTAAAAGTAAAGCCCATGTCTTAGTAATTATGTGCTCAAATAAAGTATCCAAAACACAACAGGTACAAAAATAAATATTTGAACTGCATGTCTTTACCTTTGGTTCGAGGATCAGTTCCACCCGCTCATTAGCATCATCTTCCTCAGAGTCTGAGTTTCCTGCTTTTATATCTAGTTGTTCAAATGCACTGTCCAATACTTGTAAGCCATAGTTCACAGCCTCCTGAACTTTAGGAATCAGATCTACTTCTTTCTGTTCCCGGGTCTTCTCCTAGAAAAAAATACTGTTCAGTATATTGATCTTCAATATATTGATACCACCATAATAAAACACTGTGAATGTTCTCTAAAGCCCAGACTCATGCTCCAAAAAAATCTAAATTAAAAATGCAGACTCTGAGTAGATTGAGCGCAGGCCTGTGAACCAAAGCATTGCTGGTTTGATTCCCAGTCAGGGCACACGCCTGGGTTGCAGGCCATATCCCCAGTATGGGGTGTGCTAGAGGCAACCATACATTGATGTTTCCCTCCCTCACTTTCTCTCTCCCTTCCCCATCTCTCTAAAAATAAATAAATAAAATCTTTTAAAAAAAATGCAGACTCTGATGAATGCCTTAACACAGACTTTGGAGTAACTTTAAATTCCAAGTTTATCACTTTCAGGACATGGATCAAAGTAAAGGTCTCAGAGCTCCACATTTATCATCTATGAAACCAAAACACTATTGCGTGATGGTTCAGCTAGATAACTTAGGTAAAAGTACAGTAACAATGAATAGCATATCACAAGCCATCAAATCATACTTCGCTTCCCTGCTACAAGAGGAGTGAAGAGTCTAGAGTTTTAGCTTCACCATAACTGTACCCCACTATCCTTGGTTAATTAATGGTGATTTGGACAATTTTAGGAATTGAAATCTAGAAGAAAATACTATAGTCAGAGGTGTCATTTTTAAATTACAGTTAAAAATAATAATAATTGGACAATTACAGCTATTTTATAAATTTGTTTCAAACGAAGAAAGGATCAGTTTCATCTCTAATCTACCTGTTTATCACCCTAAGAACAATTTTCCCTACCTGTCCCAGAAGTCTCTATTAAAATACCAATCTGCTGAAAACAGTCCACAGGTCTCCATTTCCTATAATAGCAGCTCTTAGTGACAGTCCCTCATACATTCAACTATGTTATCAATTGTAAGAAATATTGAAAAAAAATGTAGTGTCATTCCCCCTCTTCACAAATATTCTAGAAAGTAATACATAATTATAGAAAGAACCAAAAGGGCCAAAAGGAAAAGTCCAACAAGAATTTTATACTTTTATCTCAAATATGGAAGTGTTTCTAATTTAGCTTCTTTGTTTTGGTTGCATATGGTACACTTGCTTCTAAATAGGTAACACTGTACTAAGTATGTGGAATGTTTGTGAAATAAGTATGTAGTAGCTTTTTGAAAATAGTTCACTAAATATCTTTACTTTGCAATGGATCTTTGTCTTGGTGTAAGGATAGTATTGCACATAAACAGCAAACCCTTGAGTACTATAAAAAATAGTAATATTAAAAAAAACATGTTTAAAGAAGGCTAGGAAAAGGAAGAACTGTAGCTTGTTTCTAATACCCCTTCCTAGTCTAAGTGTTTCATATGTTACAAGTAATAGTTACTGATAAAGTACCAACTTTTTCAAGTGATTTATATTTTCTAAATAAGTTAGAGCTGAATCAAAGCTACTCCCATAATAAACTCAGTTACATCCCATTGTGCTTTCCTGAGTGGGAGGAACAGGGTACAACTTCTGCTAGAGAGTCCAGAACATTTATCTAGCCTTTGATCTATGATGTGAGAACCCAGGAAGAATAATACAGGAAGCCACAGAGGGGAAAAACGTAGGGACTGCTGCCCTTCAACTCCTCAGTCCGATAAAGTCCTCCAGTTTCTACCCCTCCCTCCTTAACCTTCCTCTTCATAAAATACTAGGTACATCACCTAACTCGGAACCTTAGCTTATGGCACTCTTTTTTGCTAAAATGGCCTTAAAATCTGGCCTTTCTTTCCTCAGCTAACGAACATCTCATGCTTGAAACTTTTCTCTGCTATCTTACCCAATTGAGCTCTTTTACACCTGAACTTTCATAATAGTAAGCAGCCATAGAGTTCTGACATGCTATATCCTGTCACCCCAACAAGACTACAACTTCCTGAGGTCAGTCTATCCACATCACCAGCTCCCTGCAATCTTCCCAGAGTCAATAACATTAACTCCACCATCTTTATCCTCTGTACTAACATATCCTGCAGCACTTAGGAGGCACTCCAATGTGTGTGATCTGACCAGCATTCATCTCATTGTCACTTTTAATTAGTAGGAATAAGAAGCAAAGGGGTCATGAAAGAATAGGTTAAAAAGTCTTCGAAGAACTTATAAACTACAGCTCAGCCTCTGGCCTGTTCCTGTAGGCCCTTCATGTAAAAATGCTTTTTATATTTTTAAAGGGAAGGGGAAAAAAGGAAAATGAATAAAAGAAAAAAGACTAAGAAGAGACAGACCAATAAGGCCAGCAAAACCTAAAATATTTACTGACTGGCCTTTTACAGAAAACCTCTGCTGAACTGGGCTCTATTCTTAAGTCAGAATGTAGGAACTTTATTATACATTTCTTAATATACTAAATTTCAGAAGTAAAAGAGTTTAATTGCTGGGCTAACAGAAGCCATCTTCCCTATTTCCCCAATATCTATCCCCTACCAGCCACATTACAAATCTCCACTATTTTTCATCACTAAGTCAGGAACGCAAAAGAAAAGGAATATAATGCAAGTACCTGTTCTGCTTTTTCTGCCTCAGCCTTGAGAACTGGCTCCTCCACTTCTTCATCATATACACGCTATATTATGGAAACAAGTTCATTTTTAAATGGTCAAGACATTATTTGGAATAAATTACACTGAAAGAATTCAGTACACAACAAAAACAGGATGAATTCAATATACGAAAAAGACAAAGAAGAAATGATTACTTAACAAATGGCTAAGGCCACTAATCAGAGACAAAAAAAACAAAGATCAGTAGTCAATTCACCAAAACCTAAGCTTAAAAAAAAAAAAAAAAAGGAAGACACAACTAACTAGGAGACATGAAAGGAAGTTCAATCTCACTGTTGACCAAAGAGTCACAAAAACAGTAAGATACCAGTTTTCACACCTTTTTGTTTAACCTAATACTTAATGCTAATGGGGAAATGACAGGCTCAAATGTCAGGCTACAGAGAACATCAACTGATTACCCAAGAGAACTTACCCACTCTGTAACAAGGGTTTTAACATTTTGAGCAGTAGGAATGGTAAAGGTAAAAGTAATTTTCATTCTGTTGCTTCAGATGGTTGGTAAGTTTTTATTATCCTATTGTATTTATATTAAAATATAGGATATGCCCACCAATAATTAGTCAGCAGGCCAGGCATTTTACTGCCCCATGGGCAAAGACAATGCAGGTCTCTCTTTTCCAAACAGAGCTATCACTCCAGCAACTCATTGTGATTTCCTTTGTTATTGCATTATTGCTAAACTACTTATTGTTTTATATTACTCCCAAGGTAAAAGATGCTTGTTATAAACAGTAGGGTGATAAAAATATTCTGAAATTTGATACTGGTAATGGTTACAAAACTTAGTGAATATACTAAAACCTACTGACTTGCACACTTTTAAAAAGGGTGAATTTTATGGAATGTGAATTGACTCTCAATTAAAATTTAAAATTCAATATAAAGGTATACGGAAAAGAGATATATTTTAAAATATTTCCTTACCTATCTCCAACCTAACCCTTGGAATAACCAGTTTAAGCTTGGTGTGTGTTCCTCTGTATTTCCTGTGACTCTCACACAAATATATACAGACTTTTGCACATATTCAAGTTCTCCCACCCTTCCTGCTTTAAAAAAAAAATCCATAGTTCTCTGCTCCACTTTTTCACTTAATGTTCTCATAAGCCACTTTCTGGGTCAATACATATAGATTTGACTCAATCTTCTTAATATCTGTATAATATTCTATGGCATGAACTTAACCATAATTAATTCAACAATACCCTATTGGTGAACATTATGGAAATCCCAGTTTTTACTCTTATAAACAAACTGCTATAAACATATGCACAAATATATTCTTAGAACCCAGCCCTTTATTTCTATAGACTTTCCAAAATAGGATTGACATGTCCAAAGACAAAAATGCTTTTTAATCTTAACAGCTCCTTCCTGATTACTATCCACAAATCTATAACATAGATGGTCACCAACAAACAATGTAATCAAGTGGCCCTGTTCCCAAACCTTTGCCAGCAGGTGTTATCCACCTTTTTAAAGTATCTGTCAATCTGATTACACAGTGTTATTTTTAAATGTCCATATTTTCTGACCCAGGAATTCCACTTCCTGAAATTTAGTCCCATGGAGGGGGAAAAGCAGAAAACTATACTTGAACAACAATAAAATTCAAAAGTATTTAATGAAAAAATAAAATAAATTTTTAAAAATAAGTGAAAACAATAGACAACTAAAGAAATAGGAGAAAAAAAGAAATTTAGTTCCATGAAAACTAATCACAAATGCAAACAATAAGATGTTCATGGCATCATGATTTACAATGGAAAGTCACAAACACCAATTTGTAATTATACGAAATTCCAATAAAAATGCTAAGAGGATTATCTGTGGAACTTAGCAAGATAATTCTCAAATTCACACAGAAGAGTAAAAAGCCAAGGATAACCATGACAATTCTGAATAAAAAGAAGCCATGGGGACTTGCCCTATTGAGAATGTGATACTGGCATACAGCAGATTAACATAATAAAAGAAAAGGCCACAATTACATGTAAGCCTAATTTTATATTCACATAAACATGTGTGCACACACATGCATTCATACACATACGTGGGTGAGGAAAACAGCTATCCGATAAAGGTCAACCATGTGGGGGGAAAAATGAGATCCCTATCTCATACTACACATATGCATTCATACACATTCACAAATACATACTCCCCAGGTAAGAAGAATAAAAAGGCAGAGACACAAAGGAGCTCTCATCTAAAAGTTTAGAATTAAGGAAAAAAATGGGGAGTTGGTGTCTTTAAAGCAATTATAGCAAAATATTAAAATCTGTTAATGCAGGATGGTGCATATCATTACCATCTGTGATTATTATCTGTTCTAAGCATATAAAATATTTCACTAAAAATTTTAATTTTGAAAGACTGTTAAATAAATTGTGATTTAGCCATACAGCAGAATAAGAATAAAAATTAAGTTCACAAAAGCCTTATAGATGTGTTAAAATGCTTATAAAATAATAAACTGATATTAAGAAAAGTCCAGACTGCAAATACACACATACACATAGTAATCTAGAAAAGGTTAAAGTTAAAAAAAAAGACTAACAAGAAATATGCCAAAATATTTCATGGTTGGTTAACTGGAATGGTAGAATTACAGCTGATTATTTTTGTAGTTAATTTTTCTAAACTTAAAATTTTTATTTATACCAATCTCTTCTACAATGAATATTCAATAGTTCTATAGCAAGAAAGGAAAATAAACTTAAAGTCCAATGTCTACATGGGAAATAGATTTGGAATATATATACCAAAATGTTGAGCAGCTCCCTACTAGCTGATAAAATTTCAGATGCTTCTTCTTTTACCATATGCTTTTTTCCTAATTGTTCAATAAAGATCAGAAATTGGGAAGTAATTTTCAAACACTGGAAGAAACAAATAAGTAATTCCTAAAATTAGGACTTTAAGACATAGTAGCTTCAGAATTCAAACAAGACCATTTTCCCTAAAAGGCTGAGATTCACATTGAAGTCTGAAAAGCACCAACACCCTACTTTTTTCTTTCCTGCCTGTCATTAAAAACTATCTCATAAGACTTCAATAGCCTACAGCTGGAAAGTCAAACATGACATGTAAGAAATCAACCAGGAAATCTGTAAAAACCATGGAAAATTTTGAATGTAACCAGGACTGTCTATCTCAAGTACTTAGTACATAGCAGATAATCAATGCTAACTTCTACCACCCTTATTCACTCGTAGGTTCATGCGTTTTTTGACCGTTTTCAAATCAGGTAGCCATACCCAGAATTTTAAAATATTTTGCGTATTTCCACTCAAAGGATCTTTTCCTCATTTGAGGAGACATGGTAAAAGGTGAAGACAGGGGATCGGAGAGAAGAGGACCAGGGACGGCAGATTTCTGAACAGATTATATACACAGCCCTGTTCCTTTTCATGTATGTGTTCTTTCAGTCATTCATTCAAATGAATCCCTATATTCACTGAGTCCCTATATATCAGGTTTGTGCTGAGCCCAAGGAATAAAACAGTTAGCAAAAATATGGGGCTTGATTCAGTTAGGGAAATTCACTGCACATCAATAAATGTAAAATTATAATCTTGGGAAATGCTTCTGAAGAAGTTATTAACTAGGTCAATTTATGTTTCAAGACAAAATTCCTAAATTAAAAGATTAAGAATTACGTCTCCTATTAACACATTGAAGCATTTTGTTAATTAGCATTTCTCCTCCTTCAGGTCCCCTCTGGAGCCTTTACTAAAGGTACTAATTTCTCTTGCCCTACAAAGTCCTGAATGCTGTTCAGTTTCACCAATTTCATAATGCAGTTTACAATCTTGTAGCTGCCTCTGAGGTTAATTACTAAAACTCAGAAACCTACCTGACTTTGAATGTCATTCTAATAGACCATGAAACCAAATGGCACCATTACTCAAGCCAGAATTATTATACATGAGTATCAATGTCAGGATTTGAAGAAAATACATAGAGTCAAATTACTGCCAAATATAAGATCAGCCTAGAGATATTTTGAGAGTTTTAGCTGTACTCTCAACATCATCATATTCAGCCATGAAATGAAAGAACATGTAACACACATGTTATAGGGGCCTGGGAAAAAGTTAAATTTGGCAGTGGCGAGACTCATCCAGAGGGGAATTCTGGCTACAGACTGGAAAGGGAAGAGACATAAAGAACAGATGGATGGATGGAACATGGGAATCCAAGAAGTGAAAAGAAACAAAGAACAATTACCAAAAAAATAAATAAAAACAAAACACACACAAACCTAGATCATGGAAAACTCACAATCTAAGAAAACTTGGACAAAAAAGAAGAGCCAAAAAGAAGACCTGAAGACCATGATTCAGAAAAAGAAGTATATGCTGCCCCTCAACCCAAGTATCAATCTGGTACCAATACAGTGCCAATTTGGTACAGATTCTCTGGGCACAAAAGAAACCTCCTGACTTTATTCCTTGCCTAGTCTAGGGCTGCAACACTGGCTGCAGAGAAGAACCGAGTGCCTGATCCAGCAGAATGAGATCAAGTATACATATTTAAAAGGACACCAAATTTAGCCTGATGAAAAAGTGATGGGACTACATATACCAATAAAGACAAGAGTCCTGTAAACTAGCTCTTCCAGTGAGAAAGATGCTCAGGAACAAGCAGGGATAATCTGTGTAACCAACCAGAATATGACTAGAATACTTGTTATATTTTAAACTTACTGGTAAAGTGATCTCTAAGATCTTTATTTTATATATAGTCGTCCCCCCGCCCCCCCGCAAAAGGCTAGTCATGGAATTTCAACCTGAACTACTAAAAAAAGCACACACATACTGCATAAGGTACCTGTATAACAATATATGGTATATTCTTAAGAATCCAGAATTGTGGGCTTTTTAAAATCTTGCAATTATCAAAATATTTTCTATTACTTTACATTTAACAATTTTGGGGAACAGCCTACTTTGTTAGTCTCCTTTTCACAGACTAATTAATGCTAATACTCAGGAAGTTAGTCACCCTATGAGAAATATAGATCAGTTTAAAACCTTTCTCTCGCCCTGGCTGGCGTAGCTCAGTGGATTGAGCGCGGGCTGGGAACCAAAGTGTCCCAGGTTCGATTCCCAGCCAGGGTACATTCCTGGGTTGTAGGCCATAACCCCAGCAACCGCACATTGATGTTTCTCTCTCTCTCTCTCTCTTTCTCCCTCCCCTCTCTAAAAATAAATATAATAAATAAAAATTAAAAAAAAAAAAAAACCTTTCTCTCCAACCTCATCTCTTTACCAGTCTCACCTTCACTCACTGGGTTCTAGCCTTGCTCCTCTCTATTCTACAATTACACTATTATGGAAGCTTGTAATCTTCTGTAAGGAGAAGCTCTATATAATTTATCTATGCATTCCTAGGACCTAGCACTTAACAGAAATGCAATAAATATACAGACAAAATTACACATGATGTTACAGCTCAGGTTCAGTCTTCATAACAAAATGTTAATTGAGAATATTATAAGCAAACACATACATGCCTTTAATATAATTTAATAGAACATAATGGAACAATCAATAACTTCAATGGCAGATGTTGGTGGCTCAGAAGACCAGAGCAGGTGCTTGGCTCTCTTTACAGAACATGCCATAACAAGGTTTGTTTGAGTCCCATGCAGTTCAGCATAACTGCTGACTACTCTCAAAATTAAAAGAGGATGAGAAAGACAAGAATTACAAAAACTTAATTTTATCATTTTTTTAAAAACTTTTAAAAACTTTATTAATTTATTTTTAAAAAGGAATTAACCCGCCCTGGCTGGCGTAGCTCAGTGGATTGAGCACGGGATGCGAACCAAAGTATCACAGGTTCGATTCCCAGCCAGGGCACATGCCAGGGTTGCAGGCCACGGCCCCCAGCAACCACACATTCATGTTTCTCTCTCTCTCTCTCCTTCTCACTCCCTCCCCTCTCTAAAAATAAATAAATAAATCTTTAATTAGAAAAAGGAATTAACCCTAGAGAAAGAAGCTTAAATTACCAAAATCCATCACTTCCATCAAAATGTATAAGGCAAATTAATAATAGATCACATAATATCACAATGAGTCTTGGACCTCGAAAAAGTATTATTTTTAAGCCTAACGTAACTAAGTAACTCACATTCTCAATGAACTGGGTATTGGACAGCATAAGGAAGTCATTGAAGACATTATGTAGGCGACAATCTGTAGCTTTAGTTTCCCGAATCAGTCCATCTACTTGTTTCTTGATTTCATGGGTCCTAGAGATAGTCTGCTGTGAAAATTCCTGTAGAAACTGTAGTAGCTATTTAAAAAATAAAGATATATAAGTATCAATATTACATGCATCTATTCTTCGTGTCAAAACAAAAAACCCATTTCCTTTCACCTTTGTGTGTGTATGCTGGAATGCACGAGGGGTGCTGGTTTTGTCAGTACTAAGGCCAACTGGCATTGAAAAATGTTGAGAAAGGTTTTCAAAACAGTGGCAAGTGGTCAATGAGCACTTGCTATTTCATTTCTGGGGGAATTTTTAAAGTACTGCTTGTCACTTTACAGCAGCCACAAAGGGTAAAATAACAAATCACTACTTTTTAAAAAAATCTTATTCTTATGTGACTTTGGAATCACAGTTCTGAGCTTCCTGGGCCACCGCCTGAAGGACCCCACTCAAGAATAACCACATACTGACTTGTCTACTGGCCCACTAGCCCAGGGTCCCTCATGGAGTCACCTCACTAGTGCCACAGCAATCCCACGGGGCAGGGAAAATCTTTCTGTAAGAGAACACTGCGTCTGGATCACAGTCCAAGTGGAAGCACTACGGACCGAGGCCGACAGGCCCGTGCTCTCCCTGGGCCCTGCCACAGTGGAGTTTTCGTGGGTGAGTAGAGATATGTGTCATTAAGTAGATGGGTGGCAGCGGACAGTCTGGATGGAGGGCGAATCTGGGCTCCAGTCCTCCCGCTCGCAGGCCAAGCATCACACCCAGCCACCCACCCATCCCACCAGTCCAATCCCTGAGGCCAGCCGCTCACTCCTGCGTCCGCTGCCAGCGACCAACTCTGGCTGCTCCTGCGGATCTCCTCCACCGACCAGGGCCGCTCCCACACTGGCTCGGAAGCTGGCGCTCGTTCCTGGCCCGGGGTCGTCCGATTCATCTGAAGCGGGAGGATAAGAAGAAAGGCTGACTTCGGGAAGGCCAAAGCCCCGGACCCACCGGTCCTACCCAGGCCTGCAGCCCTCACCATCCCAGCAGTGCAGTTCAGCAGGATCCTCCACAGTAAACACCGCACCCGACCAAGACAACAGATCCCCGGAAGCCGACCCCCAACCCGTGACCTTGTTTCACGTGACTAGACCTCACGTGACTGGAACCACACGTGACTGGGCTGCGGCGCCACTGTTAGGGAGTTACAGAGCCACAGCTGGAGTAAAAAAGTTTGTAGGGGGCAAGGGACTAGGACGCTAGTGAAGAGTGGTCTTGACTCCAGGGGGCGCTAAAGGGCATGCATGCGCCTGAGTGCATATCAGCGGTAGGACTTCGGTGACTACCAGCTCCTGCTTCCAAAAGGAGTTTGTGTGGAACATTCGGACTTGGGGCTTTAGGCGTTGGGGATGTGGGCAGAGGAAGAGCCCTCTCTTACCACGCCTGTTCCTTGCTGCTGGTTCGCTGCTTGTCGCAGGGTTGGCAGACAGGCACTCAGTAAACAGGGAATGATGGAGCTGTCTAGCCATCATCATGTTTTGATGCCATGCTGGGTAGCGCTTGCTTAAAATTCGTTATTCCCTGGGTATTACACCCAGGTTTAAGTCTAGCCTAACCATGTAACAGACAAAAACCTTTTTTAATCTGATCCCTGCCAGCAATCCATCCTCAAGTCTCCCAGCTCCCTAGCGGTCAGTGACCTGGTCTGTGTCGCATTTATTCTAAGTTCCCTGTACCAAGACCCCTCCAGTGGCAGACCAACTCACTTTTAAACATAAAGATCCTACCCTGGCTGGTGTGGCTCAGTCGATTGAGCATGGGCCTGTGAACCAAAGGGTCACTGGTTCATTTCCTCATCAGGGTACATGCCTGGGTTTCGGGCGGGGTCCCCAGTGTGAGGCATGCAGAGGGGAGGGGGTCCAGCCACACATTGATGTTTCTCTTCCTTTCTTTTTCTTGTCCCCTCTGTCTAGAAGTAAATAAATAAAATCTTAAAATAGGGAAGGGTCTGTTCAAGTCTTTTGCCAAGTGCTGGAAGCAACCTAAGTCCCTATCAGTAAATCAATGATAAAAAAAACCATGATACATTTACCCAATTGAATACTACTGCAGCAGAGAAAAAGAAGGAGCTCCTACCCTTTGTGACAGCATGGATGGAACTGGAAAGCATTATGATAAGTGAAATAAACCAGGTGGTGAAAGACAAATACCATATGATCGCACCTTTAACTGGAACATAATCAAAAGAAAAAAGCAAACAAAATATAACCAGAAACATTGAAATTAAGAACAATCTGACAGTAAACAGAAGGGAGGTAGGAGGGGATAAAGAGAGGAAGGGGAGAGGGGTTTTCAGGAACAACTATAAAGGACACATGGACAAAACCAAGGCGGGGGAGGAAGCAAGGAAAGAAGGAAGGTTTGGCTGGGGTGGGGAGTAAACATAGACTACTGTAACTGAACAAAAATATTTTTTTAAAAAATAGAGATCACTGATAACTTCCATTCCTGTGTGCCCCAGGGTCAGTAATTTAACCTCCTTGAGATTTCTTCCCTAGTAAAAGTGATGATATTTGTACAATAGCTAGCTTGGTGCCTTCCATATGGTGAGCATTAAACTATTACTCAGGGAGGGAAGGGAGGGACCTCGACATTTGCCATATGGTGCGCATTAAACAATACTACTCAACCATTAAAAAAAGAGAAAGAAAGAAACCTTGCTGTTTGCAACAACATGGATAAACCTAATTGTGTTATGCTAAGTGAAATAAGTCAGAGAGAGGAAGACACATATATGTGAAAAAATGAATAAACAAAATAAAACAGAGACAAACTTAGATGCAAAGAGCAAACGGTTAGCAGATGGGATATGGTTGGGGTTTGAGTGAAAAAGGTGAAGGGGATTAAGCAGTACAAATTACCAGTTACAAAATAAGTCACAGTAATGTAATATATGGAACAAGGAACATAGTCAATATCATATTAACTATGTGTAAGGTTTTCTTAGACCCCGCCGAGGAAATAAACAGCCAATTAGCCATGGAAATAGGCAGATGAGCTTTATTTTGGAAGTTTGTGCTCCTGGGCGACGTTTTCCCTGCCCGGAGAAGGGGCTAAGAAAACACCGCGCGGGAGAAGGGAAAGGCTGGGAGTTTTATATGGCTGGACTTCGCGCGGGAGCCAAGGATTGGTTCTTGGTGAACAAAGAAGCAACTTAGCATTGGTGGCTCCTGGTCTGATGTCAGTCACCTCTTCTGGGTCAGAGTTCAGTTGCCATATTACTTGTAGTCCAAATGGTGGCCATATTTGTAGTCCAAAATGCTAATTGTAACTAGATTCCCACTTGTCCTACCCTGCCCAGCCTGACATTCTGACCTCTTTGGTATAGGGATAAAGGGGCGGTCGTCATCAATCTGGCTTCTTCGTGCTGTCAGAATGGGCGCAGAGGGGAGGGGTGAGAGGTCAGCTGTTTCTGGTCCATCAGGCAAGGGCAAGTAGGTGTGGGCCTGAAGCAGCATCTGGTTGAAGGTAACCTGGGAGGCTTCATGAATATTTCCTGGAGAAACTTTAGGAAACAGGCGAAACATTAATAGTATGCAGAATATTATGAGTGGCCCTAGGACCGGAGCCAGGGTGGTAAAGAGTAAAGAATGTCACCACGGAGTTGTTTTGAGAGAGGTAGGGTCCTCGCGTAATTTGTCCCTGAGATCCTGTAGGGTATTGACATTTCCCTCTACTAGGCCACTTTTATTTACATAGAAGCAGCAATGTTTCTGCAGAAAGACATGTCCCTTGTTTTTCTGCTGTTAGTAGGTCCAGGGCTTTGCGATTCTGGAGAGCAACCTGGGCTATCGAGGTTATCTGTCTCTGCAAAGATGCTAGAGAGGTGGCAGAGGCATTAAGGGCCTGCTCCAACTCAGCCCGTAGTTGGCGAGTGGCTTGGAGACTGTGCGCTAACCCAGCGCTACCTATCCCAGCTGCTGGCAGGGTTGTGAAGGTTATACCTGCTAATATGAGCAGAAAGACTGGCCCATTTTTTTTTTTTTTTTTTTGGATGCCTGGTTAGTTTGTCCTTGAGCTTCCCCTATCCGTAAAGCATAAGCTGTAGGGTCAGCACGGTCAGGAAGCAGGGGAAGGCAGAGGCAGAGTTAACGGTCCATAGCAGCATTCCATTGCACCAAAAAATGTACCGGGGGCTGGTGGTGGTTCCCGATATGGGAATAGTTTGGTTGCAGGAGAAGGTGCTGTCAGTGGCGTAACACACCTGCAGCTGGCATCCAGGATTTTAGAGAAGAGGTACGTCCTTTAAGAGGAAAGGTGTAGGGGTAGTCAGTGACATTGAGAGGATTAGGGATGGAGACAGCTGCGATCGGAGAATGGTCAAGATAAGCACATAAGAAACAGTCAGTAATATTTCCTATGCCAGTAAGGTTTAGGAGGGAAATACCTTGATGTAGGGTTTTAATCCATGGACCTGGAGTAAGAGCTCAGTATATTTCAATGGAACTCTGCAGATGCGAATAGGAGAGGCTTTGGTATAGCTTTCCCTTTACTCCCTGCTCCCATTTGGAGTCCCACAGGTTATTAATAGCAAAGCGCCAAGGCTGGAGAGTACTCCGTCCATAGTATTTGCAATAGTAGTAGGGGCAGCCTTCCATGTGTGTTTAGCCAGAGTTTGCAGTTACTACCCATCTGATCACAGAGGGAACAGAGAGCATGCCATCCGTATGGGGCAGTCCAGCTGTCTAGCCCTTTAAAGCTACTTTTGGAAGCAGAGAGAAGTATGGATGTAGAGCAACCAGAGGGAGGGCAATCTGCAGAAGTGACTGGGTGAGAAACCACCTGTCCATCTTTGTTACGGGTCTGACATACAAAGAATCCCCAAATGTATTTGCTTTGTAGTTTAGGAATGGTTTCTGACAGGCATGGGTGAGCGAGGAGGAGGAGGGGGAGGATCAGTAAAAGCTTAATTGGCAGAACCTAGTGTTCGAGTAAAGCAGACTCGCGTATTTCCTACGAACTGCGCTGACCACTTTTCTGAGACGGGCTGGCTTAAGGCAGATTTGGACTGGTTGGACAATGCTGGCCTGGCCAGGAACTCCAGGGTTTTAAACTAAGGGATTTATTTTTTGTAAAATCTGCTTTGGGATATTATTTTCCTTTTGTCTTTACAAGCTAGCATAATTATAAGGACCTTATTAGAGGCTTCCTGTAACTTTAAAATAGTTTCCAGTCTGGCTAAGAGGTTTTTTCCCAGCAGTGGTATAGGGCATTGTGGAATAATCAGAAAAGAATGCTTCAAAGACTTGGCTTTTTAAACTGACAAGTGATAGGGGGCGTGTTGGAGTTTCGACAACCTCCATGACCGAGATCTGGGAAGGAGTAAGGGGACCAGAATGTGGTGGCAAGGCTGAATAGGTAGCTCCCGTGTCCACTGGGAATGCGATAGACTTACTGTTTGCAGCATTACCCTGGGCTTGACGAGGGTGATGAGTGTGTTTGAGTCTGGCCCATGTCAGTTGCCCATGAAGCCAAGGAGCTTTAAGGCCGGAGAGGAGTCCTCACCTTGGCTGGCTGGTGCCCCAAGTAGAGGCGCCGGGAACGAGCCTTTAAGGGGACAGGCATCTCTTTAACTGCCGAGCTGCCAGCGGTTGAAGCAGTTTGGTGGGCGGTTGACCACATTTGAAACAGGCTCCTGGCAGCGTTTCTTTCGGTGGCCCGGACTTTGACTTGGCCCCTGGGCTGCTGTCCTGGGTTTTCAGCTGACCTCAGGGTTACTACTATAGCCTGGGTCTGCAGGGCTACCTTCCGTTGCAGGCACGCTCGGCGAGCAGCCTTAGCATTTTGGTCCCAGTAGTTAAAAACTTTAAATGCCATGTTTACCAGATCTCGGATGGGGGTTTGAGGACTGTCTTTTGCCTTTTAGTTTTGTTTTTTTTTTAAATGCCTGGGGCTGACTGAGTTATAAAGGATTGACGTATTAATACCTGTCTGGAGACGATGGATTTATATTAGCGTTTTTTTTTTGAAAGGCCTTTAGCAGTCTGTTGCGAAAGAGTGCAGGGTTTTGTTTTTAAATTAGAACTATGTACAGGTTTTTGTAGGCCATATTAAAGGCAAGGGTTAAAATATG